GTACCAGAAACTAAGCTAGCAACCTCTTCTTTTTAAGTACATCGTCTTTATGAATTTGTCTAATTTTTTTCCTGTAAATTTCTCAGGGTAACATGGACAGGGTGAGTCTTCTCCGAGAGAAGGTCCAGTCCACGGACCGGGGACCCGAAAAGGGCGATCCTGGTACAGAACATTGGCAGAAGCAGTGCAGGGGCGGCCGTCTCTGCTTATTCTCCTAGGACCAGATGGTGAGTGTCAAACGGTAGGCAAGTGCCCTCCTCCTCCACCCCAGGAACAAAGAGAAAAAGCAACTCAACTTGCAGAGCCAGTCTGTAGCCTTGGTGGTCAAGGCAGCAGGAAGCCACATGGCCGACCATGGTAGGAATCCTGGACCCAGTCTTGAAAGACACTCCAAGCATGCATGTGTGCATATCTAGAATCCCAACAAGATGGAAAAACAGAGGGGAAGGGATTGGGGTGCGCCCAGGCCTCACTGGGGAGTGCCGCTCCCTCTCTCTGGCAGTTAAAAAAAAAAAAAAGAAAGGCAATACAGTTTCAAGGTGACATTTTTTTCCACTCAGCCTCTCCTCCACCCCCCACCTCTAAGCCCTGTGGTCTGCTGTACCGTCCTGTGTCCCTGAGGTCCACACGCCAACAGCACTTTATAGAAGACAAGTGGGGAGGCAAAGAGAGAAAGAGAAGTTTCTAGATCTTGGCAGTTTGGATGCAACCTCTTCTAGTTATCCAAACAACTCATTATAAAACATGCAGTGTTTATCCAAGGCACAGAGTGGTTGGGAAGGCAGAGGAGATTTCAGGGAAAGGTCGAAGAAAGATAAAAATAGTCCCGGCTTTGGAATGGAAATCCAAACCCTGTCCAGGGCACTGCCAAATGATTTTTCCTTTGTCCAATCATAGCAGGAAACTTTCACATAACAATGGTATCCGAGAGAACAATTCCATCACACTAAGAACGAACCACAGAAGTCCTCCACTGGGGCCTGGAAGCCAAGGCGGGATGGTTTGGGGCTACCACAAACCCAGCATCTTGGCTCAGAGACGGTCTTTACCCCAAAGCCCAGGTCCAAGTCTCCTGGTCACCGAGCCTTCCCAGGGGTTCTGACTCACCGTCATCTCTTCCGGGTTCCCATGAGGTATTTCCACCACCCTCAGGGCGGGATCCGTCTTCACCTTGGCTCGTCCCATGAACTGGATGACAGATGAACTGTCCTGTGGAGGGAATGACATGGTTTGCTGTGAGATTCTTCAGTCGCCATGGCTGGGTCTCAGAGGGCCTGGGCAGGACTGAAATGCTGAGATTCTATGTAGAACAACAGTGGAGTTTTTTTTTTGTTTTGTTTTGTTTTTTGAGAAGTTTTTGCTGTAGGGCACATGCACTTGCCAGAAAGACAGAGAGACAGAAAGCGAGAAATCGCCACACTGCAATCCCTTCTCCTCCATTCTCCTCTCGGGATCTTGGGCATGCACGCACACGCGCCCGTTGTGAGTTTAAGCCACCGGATCCAGGACTCAAACCACAGTTAACTACATGGGAGTCCAGTGACATAGCCATTACACCAACTGCTGGTCCCAACGACAGCAATGTTTTCGCTGCACCAGATTGCCGCCCATCCCAGGCACCCACACAGGCATACACCTCCGGGATCTCTCTGCAGAGTCCTCTCAGACCACGGCAGATATGGAAATGCCGTGGGGTTTGCCAGTAATCCGCACATGTGGGTGGGCGCTGTGGTTCCACGAGGTGAGAGCCAACGACCTGCATGTCGATACTGACAGGTGCAAAAATGTCGAAGATAAAAACAGGCTGTGTAATTGTGCCCAACAAATCCAGGCCTGGCATTCCACAGGACGCAACTGACTACAACTCTCAAGCCCTTCACGTGAGCTTCTTTTGTTTGTTTGTTTGTTTCACAATTCTTTCTTTGCTCTTAGATGAGTTTTTGGACTCAAGGCCATTTAACATTGAGAGAGGGTAACTGATGAAGAGACGAGGAAGAGGAAACATCAGCTTATAAATCAGGATTAGAAAGGGGGTGAGGGGGGACCAGCAGTTAGCGTAATGGCTATGTCGCTGGACTCCCATGTAGTCAACCGCGGATTGAATCCTGGACCCGGTGGCTTAAACTCATGCGGGGTGTGTGTGCGTGCGTGCCCAAGATCTCAAGAGGAGAATGGAGGAGAAGGATTGTGGTGTGGCCATCCCCCCTGGGGGGTGATTTCTCATTTTCTGTCTCTGTTTCTCTTTCTGGTGAGCGCGTGCGCCCTGTAGCAAAAAACCTCTCCAAAAAAAGAAAAAAAAAAAATAAAAGAAAGGGGGTTGGGGTGGGGAGAGGGCACATGTAAGACTTGTCCCCTCAGGAATTGCCCCCTAGTCAGAGGCAGTCAGAAGCTTGCTGTGAGGCCAGAGTTGGTGGCACAATGACAACTGCTTGGGCCACGTGGGGAGGTTTTGGGGTCATGCTCTGAGGTCTCCCTGTATACACTGGTGTGTTCACATGTGTCTGTGATCCTGGAAGGCTGAGGCTGGGGGTGGATTGTGGCATGAGGCCCTTGCACCTCCCGCTCTT